TGCTGCAGCGCTTCGGGAGCGATGCGTGGGAGCACGTGCAAAGGCACGCCATGGTGCCGGAGCACCAGGGATGTGCCCAAGCCACCTGATGTGACCGAGCAGGCAGTCTGCTGGCCGAAGTCCCCAGGCTATCTCCATCTCGGTTCCCTGGTACCTGCTTCGCCGGTTCTGCCCCCAGCCCCGGTCACCCAGCCCCGCCAGGAGGGAGCGAGGGCAGAGCAGCCCGTCCCCGCGCCGTGCCTGCCTGCATGTCTTCCTGCAGGAGTTCCCGAGGACGGCCGTTTTCATGGCTGCTGGTGGCTGTTTGTAGCCGTGGCTTCCCAGGGGAAGCAGGGAGTCTCCTCTGGGACCTTTCCCTTGTCCGCCTGGGAGGGCCGGGACCGGGATGCCACCACCGCCCCGCCGGTGGGATTGCTGGGCTCCCGAGCCAGGGCACGGGGGTGAGGGGCCAAGCCCACAGCCAGCAAAAGGGCTCTGTAATGCCATCCGAAACAAGCATGCTCTTATTTTTACGTGCTTTTTTCTGGTGAAATTTCCTGAAGAAAGAGAAGACATACATCAGTGTAACCTTCTTCTGCAGGACACATTGACAAAATTAATGCTAATACTGATAGCTCCCCCCTCCCTTTTTTTTGCCTTGAGCACTTTGGGTCACCCTGACCTGTTCTGCCTGGTCTGTTTTACATTTGTTTTGAATGTGGTTTAAAGGCAATTGTTAAAAACATGCATGCTATGAGTTTGTCCGCAGTTATTTCTCCCACAGTATAGAGGCAGAGCAGCTGAAAATGCTTCCAACCTCCAAACAGTTGGTTTTACCTGCCTGTTAATTACCAGTCACTTATAGGGTATAATAGAGCTGCCTGTGACCAGCAGACCCGCAGCTCTCGGTATGTTTAATGGGAGGAGGAGGTGACACACTGAATACCTTATTTAGGACTCTCTGCTTTGGCACAGAATGGCAATATGTCGAAGTACTTCTTTATTGATTGAGATCACACTGACCTGCAAGCTAAAATCCATTAAACAGAATCTTCTTTCCTGATCAACGCCGTAAAGCCACAGAGAAGGAGAAAAGAAAAAAAAAAAAAGAAGTGATAATGCCGGTTTCATGTGCTCGGATCTGCTGGTGCGGTGTCCTGCCTCTCCCACAGCAGCAATTCCGACTGCAAGCGCAGGTGCCTGCACACTGCACGGATGCTGCCAGCCCTCGTGCACACACGGGCATCCGGACCCCGCTGTCCTGTGCCAGCCCGCTCCCTGCATCACTCGGCAGCGCGGCT